ACGCGTGAACTAGGTGATCGAGTTGCTGAGGAAGTCCCCAGTAAGGGACGAAACGTTCAACAAGATCAAATAAATTTGTTCATCAAAATTTATTAACTGTCTTCAATTTTCYYWTTKAAACYCATATATATTAATATACTGTTGGGACAAGAATATTGATTATTAATAACGATATTTATTTACATTTTATTTAAGCAATACCGTTTCATAAATGCGATCAACAATACATGCGTCCATGACAAAAAAATTAAATATGTCATTTGCATACATTTTTATAAACTGGACAGTCAAACGGCATCAGGAATATTATTTTCAAAATTACCAAGCCCAATAAGCATGGAATACGATGATGAAATCAGTTCAAGTGAAAATGAGTTCGTTTTTTCATCGATTAAATGGACCGGTCATTTTATTTGACCCATAAACCCATAATCCGGACAATGTACGAAATAACAGATCATTATCTCTCTCTCTCTCTCTATATATATATATATATATATATACCTACGAAATAATTTATTATTAAACTCTAACGCATGACAAAGTTTTGATTTCGTTTGATATCATTGCCCATTCTCGCTCTTCGCGACAAAATTCGGGATCGACTAGCAACGTGCGGAAACTCGAAAATGGTGATACAGTTTTGTCGACACAACGCGTAGTGTTTTGACAAGGTATACTATTCCATTTGTGCAACAACGAACCACTTGAATAACGCATGAGTTTAACAGATATGACTATTTGATTGTCACGTATTCGTGACAATCAAATACCACACTCCCCGGATATACATCTACGTATGCCAGTGAAGCGAGTAAATGCGCGCTCATTCTATCAACGCTTTCAAACGATGAAATGCTTTTTTTTTCCCCCCTCACCATCACCCTCCCATCTACCCTTCTCTCCTACAACTGAACCCAGATCAAACGATAAATGTTCACACACTGCCGTTTAAACTATTTATTTTCTATATCCATTAATTATTTTTTTATTCAATATTTGCCATTACTAAAAATAAAAAGGAATAAGAGTACAAGTAAAAATTGTTAGTCAGGCTATTAGATATAATTTTTTTGGTTGTTTTATAATAAAATTCACCGAATTCGAGTGCAAGATTTTTTAAATAAAATATTTTGTCCTTAGCAGATCGTAATATATATATATATATATATATTATATATGTATTCTTGTAACGAGAAATCTATTATGAAGAAATTTATAAAAATAAAGGAGTACATATTATATTTATTAGATGAAAACGATAATCAAAATTAGAAATTTTTGGTAAGATAATATGAAGACTGCTTCCTATTTATTTAAATATTTTTAATTGATATTATGTAAACAATCATCGGGGTAATTATATAATAAAATATCAACATGTAACTTTTGAAACAATCCGATATTCCTAAATAAAAATACAACAAAAAGAAAAAAACAGAATTATTCACGCGCGTATCAACCATAAATTAAAACAAATATATTTATCAATTACAATTGTATAGAAAAAATAAATATATGAATAAAAATAAAAAAGAAATATGTGAATAAACATAAAAAAGAAATATATGAATAAACATAAAAAAGAAATATATGTATACATTAATAAAAATAATGAAATATTTATAATAAAATTGTACAAATATAAATTGGTATTAGCTCGAATAGAAACTTCAAATCGTTCTAATGGTTTAATCGGTGACTGAATACAAAGCCACTATGAGGTTCGAAGCTCATTCAGAGATTCGACTGATTAACGAGGTATAGAGAGTCATTGCGTAAATCGGCCTACACAAGGGAGTCAATGAAAGGCACTTAATTGCATTTGGATACAATGCTTCGACCCTGTAATATTCTCTCGTACGCGCTTTACCATCCGCGTTGTCAGCTATTGCCATGTTCTAATTTTCTATCTAGAAACTTCATTGTACGCTGGTTCATTTTGTTGTGTTCCTATTTAAACGTCTAATAAAAGGTCACGCACAATGAGAATTTTCTTTTGTTTTATTCTCTATTTCTCGTTTGAAATAAACAACGTTCAAATAATCTTTCTATGGCAAGTTCAAAGGTATTCGTTTTATCAACACATTTTTCTTACATTTGTCACGTTTTTATTAATATATATTTGTATGATATTTAAAAAAATATTAAAGAAATTATTATATTTTAAATTTTTAATCATAAATCGAATTAATCGAAGAAACAATTGGTTCGAGTAAATTTGTTTAATATTCTTTTTTTTCAGCATTCAGTAGAAATTAAAGAAAATTGTAAAGGTTTTATATTCATACCGTATTTCATCAAAACTTAATACTTTTTACATACCGTTTCTTAGTAAACGAGAATAATATAATTATATTGATTTAGAGAAATGGTTGTGTTTAATATTATTAAGGAATAAATTAAAAGCACAACTTCGTCAAAATATTATATAATAAAATAGTTTCCCCTCCCCCCATGCAGATCTTAATTCCATTCGTTAAACGAGAACTGATATCAAAAGCCAGAGAAAATAATTTACTAATATGTAAAAAGGGTTATTAATATTTGCAAAAAGATTTAATCATTCGATAAACAACACGTTTATTACGTTATATGTAAATTCTTTATTGATTTATGCATGTTATTCATTTTTTTTTCTTCTAGGAAAGTGTAATTTTGAACTTAAAGGAACTTTTATATTATATTTTTGTATGATTTTCACTACGAAATGAGAATTTAAACGAAAATTTTAATTACAAGGTACAAAAATAAAAGAAAAAATTACAAATAATTCTTCGAAAGTTCGCAAAGTTATTAATTGTAACAATTATTATCTCTCCATTTTCTCTCTCTCTCTCTCTCTCTCTCTCTCTTTCTCATTTTTTTACGAAATAGATATTATTGAGTTAAAGTAAGTACCTACACATCCACGATGGAAAATAACTGAACTAATTTAACTGCTTTTCGAATCGTTATGTAACCCACAACGTTTATAGAAATATAGGAATGAATTATTAGTTCCTCTCTTCTAATATATTTCCATTTACTTTGTAAAATACATTTGAAACGTTTAAACACTGTGCCTCTTCAATCATAGACTCATCAACCTGGATACGATTTCCCAGAGAACTCGAGACGATCTTATTACTTTTTTTTTTTCTTTTTTTTTCCTTTTTTTTTGTAAGAAGACCCTTAAAGAATTGATCTTCTTTTACTCTTTCTTTTTTAAGTAGAAGGAAATTCTTATAATTTTTAATGAAGACTTTCATACGTTTCGAAATAGTTATATGTCATTTTTATTTTAATTATTTTATTGATAAGATAAATGTATATTTTTATATCAGATTATGATACTACAATTTCGTTTTGATATACATCCAATAAAATGATCATATTTATTATATATCAAAAGAATTATAATTATATTAAAAGCGATAATTTTCCAGTTATCATATAATTCAGAATATCATATATTATTTTATATTATATATTCTGTGTTAAAGTAGACAATATATTAGTGTATTGTTGAATGAATTCATTCGAATCGTTGTTATTATATAAATACTGAACTAAATTTATGTTTCTTCAAATAACGATGTTAATTTAATCAAATAAAAAAATCAATTAACTTTCTAATACTATTAATAATTACATGATATAAATGTAATATGAATCACTGCTAGTAATTACAAATGGATTTAATTACCATTGTTACTGTTACTGTTATTTCACATACGAAAAATAGGTTAATCGAAATAGAATGCCATTCTCGTTTGTGGAAACAGAAATTTTAGTATCACAGGGGTGATACAAAACCGAGAAAATTGAAGCCGACGTGAGAATGATCGATAAGTGAAGAAAACAAAAAATACAAGGAAACTAAACAACTTTTATTTT